CTACTCCCTTGTTTAGTATTTTACCCTCGGAGCATGCTTGTTTAGTTGGTCACCAAACTCGTGGAGTGTTTCTGACCTCGAGCATAGTGAGTATTCTGTCTGCTTAAGGTAACAACTGCAAAGGTAATCCCTCTAATCCTTAGCCTTTCGGGTTGAAACCATCTATACGATTGTGTTCAAGTGGCTTGTGGCTCGAGTAGTCCAATACGCTTGAGTTGTCGCGTATCAAAGATCTTATTAGAAGATACAAGACACATCGTGGTCTAGTCTTATACAAACTCATTGTATATGATACCCCCACTCACATGTCTCCACATGAATGATTGAGATTAGATCATTTGTAACTTTTACAAAGTGGGTCGTATCAATAATGTTACCAAGATAAGACACCACATCTTATCCGTATACTATAGACTCCTTCGGTTACTACTTGAACACAATCCTCTGCATGTCAACTATATATTGTTCAAGTTTACACTAGTAACATTGGATTTTCATAAAATGAATAATATAAATTGCACATAAAAATAATCAAATTATTTTATTAATAAATTACAAGGCTTTAGGACATAAATCCCAATAGGACGATGAAGGATTGTAGATGGAGATAATGAAAATTGGAGGAGAGATGGAGATGTGGGGCACAAAGGAGGGTTGCTACAATACAAACCCTAAATCTTCTTATCTCCGGCTAGGAGGCATTATGATAATGATGGCGAGCGGTGGATGAGAATAGAAATGGCTGTGGGTGGTAGTGATGATGGTGGCGTTTGCCGAAAAAGAGGGAGGAAGAGAGGATGAAGGAGAAGAAGGGGAAGAGAGAGAAATAATGCATAAACAGTCGACAAGTAGTGAAAGATGTATAAGGACCATTTAGAACAATTTCTCAAGCCTTAGGGACCAGAAGTGTTAATTTTGAAATTTTATGGACTAAATATACATCTGTCTCAAACTTCAGGGACCAAAAGTATTATTTTGGAACTTCAGGGACCAGATAGACAGATATCTTAAATCTCAAGGACCAAAAGTGTATTTTTTTTTCCCTAAAATCTATTTTCAAAATCTCCTTTCAAAATATAGAGTATCAATTTTAAGTGGTTTAAAGTTGATTTGTCATTATTTGATTCTTTTATCAGATACAGTTGATTTCCTACCATCAAAATTTGTTGTTTTTCTATTCGTTCTATCAAATAAATCCTTAATTTTAAAATTAAACATGTATACCTAATTTGTTACCTGAGTATATGGGTCTAAAATATATACTCCGGATTTAAAAAAAAAATATAACTTAACCATTTATGCAATATGTTTGACCATTTTTTAAAAAACGTTATTTATTTTATCCAGTCCTGTTGTTTGCCCTTTTTTAAAGCAGGTGTCCAAATTCTATCCTAAATTTTCCAATTTCAGTTGTTGTTAACAACTTTTTAGAGAGGTGGGCAAAGCCTTGGGCCGGGCCCAAAAACAGCCTATCGGTCATCTCGGCCCATATCCAAGTTTCGCGGAGCAACAGAAAACGGTGATCGTGTTCTTCCAAAGTATTATCCTTCTTTTCTTCAAACTTTCCTTGTCATTTCAACTTTCTCCGCTGATCCTCAGGTAACCTCGTGTTTCCCTCTAATCCTCTCCCTCTTCCTTCTAATTTCCACCTCTTTTCGCTATCTGAACCAAATCATACGGTTTCATTGCAATTAGTACTTTTGGTTTTTCCTTTTTCGTCTATCGATTAGAACAAATACTACGTTGAAGTTAAATCATCATCCCCAATCAAGTGAGGGGTTTCTTTCATTTGAGCTGTTGTGCTGAACCATAAGCATTTGTTGTGATTGGAAAATTTGATTTTCGAATGCTTTAGAGGGGCAAGAAATGGACATTGATGAGATCTTGGGGACAACCCAGAACGTGAGCCTGCCGAGAAAGAGCGCAATTTATGTTTGGGGTTATAATCAGTCGGGGCAGACGGGTCGAAAGGGGGAGGATCATCAATTAAGGGTTCCTAGGCAGCTCCATCCTGACCTTTTTGGATGCCCAGCAGGAGCTAATTCGCGATGGCTAGACATCGCTTGTGGTCGTGAGCATACGGCTGCTGTGGCTTCTGATGGCTCGCTTTTCACCTGGGGTTTGCCCTCTGCATCTCTTAACATACTTTTTCTTTCTGTCTTTTCAGATGTTTCGAAACAAGTTTGTGCAGGGTTTCTTTTTCCACTTTTCTCATTTTCTTGGGAGTTGTTTTACTAAAGTGGGTTAAGAAAGCGAGTTGTTTTGGGGGAGAGCCAAAAGTCAGTTCAGCATTCATTACCAAAACGGTTAAAAAGAACAAATTAAGGGATTTGTGTGCTGGATGCCATGGGAGACCATCCATCACTTGTTTCTGATATTAAGATAGCTATAAATGATTAATTTATACTAACCCATTCGCTTAAACTTTTGGGTGACCGGTGATGTAACATGGTATGAGAACAAGATGTCCTGTGTTCGAACCTTTGTATTGTTATTTCCTCCTCATTTTATATTGATTAGTACTTATTGGGTCTCGTGAGGGAAAGTATCAAGATAGCTATGAATTATTAAAATTTTCTTGACCCATTAGCTTAAGCTGTGATTTAACACAAGAGAATTTTGATATGGTGGTTTTGTCAAATGAAATGATTAGGTGCAAATGATTTTGGTCAACTGGGCGATGGAACAGAGGAAAAGAGCAAACATCCAAAGAAAGTGAAGCAATTGCAGACTGAATTTGTGAAATCTATTTCCTGTGGAGCACATTGTACTGCTGCTATTGCAGAACCTCGTGAGAATGATGGCACCATTTCGTCTAGTAGACTCTGGGTTTGGGGACAAAATCAGGTTTTAATTTATCACTTTAAATGTTGATGGTCTTTTCTTTTCTGAACTTCTCTGCATTTTCAGCTATTCCTCTCTTCTCACAGGGATCCAATTTGCCGCGCTTATTTTGGGGAGCCTTCACACCGAAAACAGTATGTTTCAAACGTTTGGTTGGTGAAGAATATCACGAGTCGATGTTGTATATTTTTAAATTTAAAAAGAAAATCTTATTATTTTATTTGTTCTTTTCCACGTTTCCTTGGCTCTCTTATTCTATTGTACCAATAATGAGCATTCTTGCATCTTCCCTCAATGCAATAGTTGTGTTGTTAATTGTTTCTGTTCTCTTTGTTGGAGCTCCTTTAGGATTCTAGACAGTATTGTGAGATTAAATAGAACTGCCTTTGGCTTATAATGAATTTAATCTTGAATTAACTGATATACTAATGTCGTATAAATTTATGAGATGATGGAATAAGATTGATGCTTGATTATGATTCTGCAGTTATTAATTAATGTCTGTTTACTGTAGATTATTCGTCAAGTGTCCTGTGGGGCAGTTCACGTAGTGGCATTATCAGACGATGGCGAACTGCAAGCTTGGGGTGAGTTCATCTAAATTTATTTAACCTATTTGGATACGAAATTGAAAATTTTGTTTTTTTGAAGTTGCCTTTTCAAGTTTAAATAAAATTCTTAGTGAAGTTGATTTCCACCACGCATGTACATTTGGCGGTGCTATCGTATATCGGGAATCTACTTACTGAGTTGGAACTTGGAGAGAAGCTTAAATTTTTATCTGAATAATAATTCCCTATTCTGGTTGACCAGGCTACAATGAGTATGGTCAGCTAGGCAGGGGTGTTACTTCCGAAGGGCTACAAGGAGCTCGCATTATAAGTGCTTATGCAAAGTTCCTTGATGAGGCCCCTGAGCTTGTAAAGATTACTAAGGTGTCATGTGGGGAGTACCATTCCGCAGCAATATCCGAGAACGGCGAGGTGTAAGTGATCCGAAGGACTAAATAAATGGAAAAGAAGTTTTTATATTTAAGAATGTGAACTGTGGTTTATCCACAGAACACATAGATTTCAAGGTTTGGGGTCTTCCAACAGAATTCCCATATAAGGGACGATAAATTGGATGAGCAATGCACTTTGATGTGGCGGTTACCCGTTCTATTGCTTAGTCTATCAAATGAAGAAGTTGTCATGATAGAATTTCCTTCCCAGTCCCGAATTGTGTGTTAATGTTGAAACAGGAGTTTATTTCATTCACATACTTCCTTTGAACTCATTTATTATGTTTGATACATCATTGATTTATTGCGTAATTCATGGAGTTTCTACTTGGTAAATTTGGAGTTTCCAGGAGTGGATACTGGATATTTCACATTCTGTTATGTGAGTTAGTTAACAATATAAAATTGGAAATGAGAGGAAAAAGAGGAAAGGGAGCTCCTTAATACACCTATTTACCAACTGGTGGGGCGGGATAGGCGTCATCATCAATTAGATAAAACTTGTATGGTTAATTCTGTTTGACAATTTTACTCTGTACTTTACAGCTATACTTGGGGACTAGGAAGTATGGGTCAACTGGGTCATTGTTCCCTTCAGTCTGTGGACAAAGAGTTGATACCAAGGAGAGTTGTTGCTCTTGATGGAATATGGATAAAGGATATTGCATGTGGAGGCGTTCACACGTGTGCTGTTACTCAAACGGGGTCTTTGTACGCATGGGGTGGCGGCCGAGTTGGACAGTTAGGTCTCGGGCCCCAGACTGGGTTCTTTTCATGTGTTGTGGGTGAATCCGAGACGTTTCTTCGAAATCTACCCGTATTGGTTGTCCCAAACGGTGTGCAACATGTTGCTTGTGGACATTCACACACTCTTGTTTCAACGAAGGATGGAAGAATCCGTGGATGGGGTTACAATATCTATGGTCAGGCAGCTAACGAAAAGTCTACATATGCTTGGTATCCATCTCCTGTTGATTGGTACGTATACCGTTATTTGGATCGGTTCGGTGTGTTTTATTTACAGGTTCGTAATGAATGTATATATTTGAAAAACATTTTCAGGTGTGTTGGAGAAGTGCGAAAACTAGCAGCCGGTGGCGGACATTCAGCCGTCTTAACAGATGCTTGTTCCTTGAAGGAGCTGTGTGAGTTTAGGCTTGCTGATACTGTTAACTTGCAGAATGCTTCTGAAATAGAAGATGTTGCTTCTAGGACGGGATCAGATGCTTTAGCACGCCTTTGTGGACGACTGAGGTGTTACAGCGTTATACTTTCGTGCAAATCCTAGTTTATATTTGCATTCAGAATGTATGTCTTCATCCGTACAATTTTCATGCAGGGAGTCTCTACTTGATGGCCATTTGGAATCCGAAAAAGGCGAAACCAGTCATGGAAGGAGGTGAAAAAGAGGAAGAGGAAGAAGTGGATAGTCTGCTAATATTTTGTCAGTCGGTATTCATCTTTCGTTCTTCTCCCATTAGGCTAGAATATCGAAACGATAAATCTATGTAGTATACCGTGTCGATAATGAACTGTTTTACTCTTTGGCATGTGATGAACATTTGCCAATCATGAACTTGATCTGTATCATTAAATACTCATTTGGTCACATTGACCATTTCTCTGGCCAGGGTTCACATCCCAGCCATATTCATAATGGTGAACTTGTATTATGTTGTTTGTTGAATATATAGTGAACTGAAGTTGGATGGATTCAGATCTTTTGATTGAGATATTGGCTTTGTTCCTAGTTGCATTAAATTACAAATTTAGTCTTTAAATTTTTAGACTCCTGAACTTTAAAAAGTGTCTAATAGATCCTCTAAAGTTTCAGTTTTGTGGTTAATAGATCTTTTAGCTCTCAATTTGTTTCTAATAGGTCATTGATGTATTTGATATTTTCTAAAATTACGAATTTAATAGACAGAAAATTTAGAGAATTGGTTCATATTAGATTCAAAATTCAATTTTATGGCAAATAGATCTATTAATTTTAAATTTATTTTTAAATATGTTGGGGATCTATTAGACATAAAATCTAAAATTAAGAGACTTAGTATTAGACATAAAATCTAAAATTAAGACACTTAGTAGGCATTTTAGAGTTGAGAGACTAGTTAGATACAATATTGTAAATTTTGACTCTAGATATCTATTTAACACTCTAGATGTCTATTAAACAATTTTTAAAGTTCAAAGACTTTTCGCATAGAAACTTACAAGTTTAAAGGATTAAACTTGTAAAACTAAAAGGTTTAAAAAATATATATATAGAACACCCCTTAGAGGGTCACGTAGCTTTTTACCTTAAGATGTTCGAATGCGGAGTTAAACTTCCCCTCCATCTGTTTTCCGTAGTTTTTAGTTGAGGTAAACATCGCACCCACATAGCTCGCTCCCAAATGGATTATGGAGGACGTTGCTGGGGTGCTACATGCTTTGATGGGGTATAGGTGTAGATACTGATTACTCCGAGCTTGTTAACGATCGATCAATTGCTTTCAAGACTCATACTGTAAAAAATGTTCTGAAAAAACCTATAAGTCAGTTTTTACTTAACCGCTAGGAAACGGGTAAGGAATCTAGTTGGGGTCCTTCCTCCACCAAAGATTGGAAGGGATAGTTGTTTTATGTTTTTGGGGATTGACTAGTGGTAGTTAGAGATGGGGGAGCCGAGATATAATGTCCCTATTAGCTTAGGGAACTTTAGGCAAGAACAGTTCTCCATCCTTAGCTCTTATTTACATACTTATGCTAATATATGTTCTTCCCTTGCAGTTCTTGCAGTTCTTCCTAAGTCAGTTTCACAGTTCACCAAATTAACTCTAGAATACATTGATGGGATTCCAAAGATTTGTCGAGCAAGCTGGCATGCCTACATTCTTGTGAACGACAACCTCGTCGACTGTGGGGTTACACGATCAGATTGAAGAATTTTCTGATTTCGACCAATTCGATCAAGGTATTTTTTTTTTATCCAAAAGGTCGTATTTTATAGCATCTTTTAAGTCATATGGACTTGGTTTTAACTTCGTCGTAGAAATGATTCCTACTTTCTAGCCCATAGAAAGAGGAAGGATATGGGAAGCTCAGATTCCCCGCTTGCTGTTCACTTGCAAGTTAAGGGCGCCCAAACTTCAGCCCCTGTTTAAAAGGGAAAAGGTGTTGTACGACTTTGGAGGTTGCCCATCTTTAGACTAGTCACACGAAGGCTTCTCAAAATAAGAAGAACAAGTCAACTAAAAGCCCAGCCTCGCAAGAGAAGGAGATTAAGGCCTATTGGTGTACCTTTCGTTTGACAGGACGAGCAAGGTTGAGAATCAGTCAGGTCGGCAATTTCAACTTCTGTTTTCGCATTTGTCTAAACAAATGGGAAGATCGCAAGGAAACACTGAGGGCACTGCAAGCGAGCTCGGATAAATCATGCAATAGGATCTTTTATAGGATTAGATTTTCGACTTTAAAGCTTCGAGGCTTTATCCAAGAGTTATAGTGTTGCGCCCCTGGTTCTGATATTCGATCAATCGAAGTTGATAAGCCTCTCTCTTTTCGTCTAATAGGTCGAGATTTAGAAGAAACGCTTTTTCATTATGTTGTTTTTGGTAGCTCGATCTCAACCATTACAACTGCTTTGGCACAAAAAGTAAAAGCAAAAGGGTTTTGTTGGTTGATCCTCATGGGGTACTTTTATATGACCATAGCACCTCGGGAAATTCTTTAGCCCCTCTGCCTTTCCAAGCTTCTAACCTCAATTTTAGGCCTCACTTGATTATCTTATTGATCGCTTCAATTTAGCCGTTGGCTCGAGGGTGAGCTGTGTTGAGCATTTAACAAAACTCCTTGAACTTCTTGTTATCAAGTTGTTTCTTCTTGTTAGTAACTATGGCGCTAAGGTATGCCAAATAGACATATAATGTTTATCGTGAAAAAACTTGTGATGTTAACTTCAGTGATTGTGGTTAGGGACTAGGTAAAATATTCCATTTCTACAACCTTGACTTGATTTGACCTTTCATTATGGGCAAAGGCCCCATGAGATTTATCCCTGTAGAGACTAAGGTTGGAGAGAATCCAATGTGATGTATTCTCATTATTAAAGTCTATATATATAGACAAATATACAAGGTTGACCTAATCCTATAAGGATAAGGTAAATGACAAATTAATATTAATACAAGAATATAAAATATACTAATATCTATACTCTAACACTCCCGCTCAAGTTGGTGCATACATATTAATCATGCCCAACTTGTTAGACAAACAATCTATTCGTGCTCCATTCAATGCTTTAGTAAAGATATCTCCTAGCTGCTCTCCAGTCTTCACATACCCTGTAGCCACCAATCCTTGCTGTATTTTCTCACGTACATAATGACAATCAACTTCAATGTGTTTGGTTCGTTCATGAAATACTGGATTAGATGTAATGTAAAGAGCGGCTTGATTTTCACACCAAAGTTTCATTGGAGTGGTGATGCCAAATCCCAATTCAGTCAGAAGCTGATGTATCCATACTAATTCACACACCGACTGTGCCATAGCTCTATATTCTGATTCAGCACTCGAATGCGACACCACGTTTTGTTTCTTACTTTTCCAAGAAACTAAATTACCTCCGACAAATACACAATATCCTGAGGTTGATCTTCTATCTTCTTTAGAACCTGCCCAATCAACATCTAAAAAACATTCAATATTAAGATGACCATGATCTTTCTATAACAAACCACGTCCAGGAGCACCTTTCAAATAACATAGAATATATTCCAATGCGATCCAATGGCCAGTCGTAGGAGAACTCATAAACTGACTCATAATACTGGCTGGATAAGTTATGTCTGGCCTTGTAACCGTAAGATAATTCAGCTTCCCTACTAATCTCCTATACTTCTCAGGATCTTTCAACAACTCCCCTTCATTTGTAAGTTGTAAATTAGGTATCATTGGGGTACTACGCGGCTTAGCTGCTAACTTTCCTGTTTCAGTTAACAAGTCTAGTACATACTTTCTTTGTGACAAAAGGATCCCCTTCTTGCTCCTCGTTACTTCAATTCCTAAGAAATATTTCAACATTCCCAAATCTTTAGTATGAAATTGACTATGAAGAAAAGACTTGAGTGATACAATGCCTGATGAATCATTACCAGTAATCACAATATCATCAACATATATAATTAGTAAGATAACACCAGACTCAGATCTTTTACAAAAAAATAGAATGATCTGACTTACTCTTCTTCATTCCAAAATTCTCAATCACCTGACTGAATTTTCCAAACATGCTCGCGGACTTCGTTTCAACCCATGTAAAGATTTACGAAGGCGACATACCTTTCAATTCTCCTCCTAAGCAACAAAACCTGGTGGTTGCTCTATATAAACTTCTTCTTGAAGATCACCATGGAGGAATGCATTTTTAATAGCAAGCTGATGCAAGGGCCAATGGTGAATAAATGCCAATGAAATGAATAACTTGACAGAAGTCAATTTAGCAACCAGAGAAAAAGTATCAGAATAATCAATTCCGTAAGTTTGCGCATATCCTTTAGCAACAAGGCGAGCTTTCAAGCGGGCAATTGATCCATTCGGATGAACTTTAACAGCAAACACTCATTTACAACCGATAGGTTTCTTTCCTGCAGGAAGAGACACTAAATCCCAAGTACCATTGTCATCTAAGACAGTCATCTCCTCCAACATAGCAGCCCGCCAACCAGGATGAGACAAAGCTTCATGAACAGTTTTAGGAATAGATACAGATTCAGGGGATGCAATAAACGAACAAGTAGATGATGATAAATGGTTATATGAAACAAAAGAAGAAACATGATAAGTACACTTACGCTTACCTTTCCGAAGGGCAATAGGAAGGTCATCACTCGTTCCTGGATCCACAGATAAAGAAGTTGCTGGTATAGGGCATGAGTCCATAGGAGGTTGCCGACGAGAATAAACTTAATAGTGGGGAGAGAAGGATCAGGCGCAGAGGGAGATGTATTGCTAGGAAGTTTTTCAGTAGAATTAGAGATAATAGAATAGACAAGAAAGGTATCATCTTCCTGTAACTGCTCCCCCTGACTAGTACTCAAAGAAGATGAAAAAGAAGTATTTTCAAAGAACGAAACGTCAGGAGAGACAAGATATCTATTGAGATTAGGACAATAACATCGATACCCTTTTTGAACACGAGAGTAACCAAGGAAAATGCATTTCAATGACTTAGGGCCTAATTTGGTGAGCTGGAGGCGAACATCCCGAACGAAACAAGTGCAACCAATTATTTTAGGTTTAATAGGAAATAAAGGTTATGTAGGACACAAAGTACGATAAGGTATTTCACCCTTAAGAACTGACGAAGGCATGCGATTAATCAAGAAGCAAGCCGTCGAAACAGCATCAGCCCAAAAGTATTTTGGAACATGCATTTGAAACATTAAGGCCCTTGCTATTTCAAGAAGATGTCTATTTTTCCTTTCTGTAACTCCATTTTGAGACAAAGTATCAACACACGAGGATTGATGAATAATACCATGTTCACTTAAATAGGAGCCAAGAGCACCAGAAAAATATTCCTTAGCATTATCACTCCGTAGAACTTTAAGAGAGCCACCAAATTGAGTTCGAATTTCAGCATGAAAGTTACAAAAATGAGAAAGTAACTAAGAACGATGTTTCATCAAATATAACAAAGTTACACGAGAGAAATCATCGACAAAAGTAACAAAATA